TAATAGTGTTTTGTCAGTTAAATGAATTGAATTTGCAAATACGTGTATATATAGTAGATATTTAGTACGTAGGAACACCTTTTTTGTGTGCTTAAGGGTATGTGCACACGTCCTCGTGCAGTGCACATCCTTATACACATCTAATGGTCATGTGCATGGAGCACATACCCCTAAGGGTAAATTTTACTTTCCCTGTTTAGTATAGTAGTACTAAAATATGTATCTAGGTATGTACATTTGTATCAAAATATACATGATACTCATATGTGTTCACGAAGTATGCCATTAATAGCTGCGCATAGGCTCTTTTTATGAGAAAAAAACTTCACCCCAATACTTTGGGGTCAAGTGAGCCTATGAGGGGGTTGAAGTGGGTCATGAAACTTAAAGCTTAACCTACGCTCAAATCTTTGATCTACACTAATAAAACCATGACTCAGGTTGCCTCAGGTCTACATAAAATCCTGTAGCGTGTCAAATATATTTTGCAATTGGTTAGAAAGAATTAGTAAAGAATTGAAGCTTTTAGTTCTACTACTAGAGGTGGTCGGCACCTATTGGTCGATTTGGTTACGCAGAAATCATTTAGTTTTTGAAAGAAAAATATTATTCTCCTTTGTAAGTTATATATATTTGGGATATCCTCTAGAAACCAGGTACATGTTGTCTTCTCCCAGACACACGGGTGGCGTTCTAGTCTTTGTATTGCAAATCACTAGTGTGTGTGATTTTCTCTTTTGGTGGTTGTGTGCTTTTTTAGTGGTGTTCTAGTCTTTGGGGTACATGTTGAACCCAATGACATTATTAAGACCCTAGAGGAATTTTCCTTTCTTATACTAATAGTCTGTTTCTTGGCTTAGGTAACTAGTTTTATAAGGTTTTTAAACACAGAAAAATGCCTCTAAGCTTTTGGAGATTTTGAAAAATATTCTAGATATAGATTGGGATAGAAAAACCCAAATAAAATATTTAGAGCCCATGAAACTATCCCTATATGCTTAAGAAAAGGCTATATGCTGTAGGAAAATCGAAAAAATATCCTGAAAAATCTAGAAAATTTCCAAAACATCTAATTGATACGTGTTTTTCAAAAAAAATCCCAACAAAAGACATAACACGCAAGTAGCATGAATGCATTCAATATTAATGTATGTTGTATTCATGCTAGTTGCATCTCATACTATTGTTGTACAAAGTTTTTAAAACATGTTTATATATCGATTAGAATGTTTTGGAGTTTTTAAAGATTTTTTGGACGTTTTTCTCATTTTCCTGGAGCCAAACCTTTTTTTTTTGAAGTTTTAAAAGATGTTTTCACGATCTCTAAATATTTTATTTGAATTTTTTCTATCAAAATCTATCTCTAAATTTGGTTTGGAATTTTGAAAAGCTTATTAGAGACATTTTCCATAGTTTAAAAACCTTATCAAGTATGTACCAATTTTTTTTGAATAAAAAGTATAAAATTGCCTTCAGAAGCATTCCAAATCAAGCAAGCGAGGTAATTTGAATGGTTTTGAAAATTTATAGGGTGTATAAGATGTCTTGTTTTTTTCCCTTCCCGCCGACTCGTGGACTCCGCCAAAGTGATCCGTTATCACCATATTTATTTTTGTTCGTCGCTGATGCCTTGTCTAGTGTATTACAGAAAGAGGTGCTGGATGGATCCATACAAGAACTCTTTAGTTCACACGCAATGCCCCAGGTGTCTCGACCTGCTGTTTGCGGATGATGCCTTGCTGTGTTTCAAAGCAACTGAAGATCAAGCGGAGCGAATCAAATCAATGCTGCAAAGATTCGAGCGTGGGACGGGGCAGCTGTTCAGCCCGTCCAAATGCTCCTTGCTGGCGAGAGAGAATTTAGACCCCGGAATTTCACAGAATATTAGGCATATTTTGGAGGTCCAACGTGTGGAGTTTGAGGCCAAGTATTTGGGTTTGCCAACTCCGGAAGGTCGTATGAAATCAGAGCGCTTCCAACCTTTAAGAGAGAAGTTGGGGAAACGACTAGCAGCATGGCCGGAGAAGCTCCTGTCTGTTAGTCCCTCGGCTGCCCATGTAAGCGGTAAGCTTATTAGCACATTCACTCACTATGGCTAGAGGTAGAAGAAGATATTGAGAAACAGCTCATGCACACGGCATAAGCCCAGCGTTGGCCGAAAGCTCTGCTTCTAAATGTGGTAAACTGAACTGAGTTTTTCCATTGTCTTTGAATGAAATATATACAACTCTAGTTGTACCTCTACCAGTTACATGGTTGTTGGTGAGTACACCAACTACCTACTTCTAAGGTATATAGTTGTTGGTGAGTACACCAACTATCTACTCCTAAGGTATAAGGCTTAGCTCAGCTATCTCTACACTATATGGCTGAAGTAAGCCATTTCTACATACTGCCTCACTGCTGCTGCAACAAGCAGTGAGTGGTCAGCCGAGCCGACCGGTTCCATCTCCTAAACCAAGAGAGGACAGTTGTGTCGACTAGTCAAGAGAGAGTTGGCAGATTATGTCTAACACTGTCTTGTGCGGGGAAGGAGGTCTTGATCAAATCAGTAGCCCAGGTCATTCCCACCTATATCATGAGCGTGTTCAAGCTATCTCAGTCCACATGTGAGGAGCTTGAGTGCAGTATCCGTCGCTCGCTACTGGTGGGGAGAGGAGGAGGGCGCTAGGAGAACCCACTACTGGATTGCTTGGTAGAAGTTCACCCGTAGCAAATTTCAAGGCGGACTAGGCTTTCAGGATCTGCAACTTTTCAGCCAGGCTCTGTTGGCGCGTCAAGCGTGGAGATTAATCAGTTATCCGGACTCGTTATGCGCAAGGCTACTGCGAGCAAAATATTATCCAAACGAAGACTTGCTAGATACCGCATTCCCATCCCAAGCTTCACCAACTTGGAGGGCCATCGTGCATGGGCTGGAGCTACTAAAAAAGGGCGCAATCTGGAGAATCGGAGACGGCAAGAGGGTGAAACTGTGGCGGCATTGCTGGATTCCAAGGGATTATTCCCTGCGATTGGTTGGCCAACGTCACCCTTGCCGATTGAAGTGGGTGGCAGACCTCATCGATGAGGACAATCACTGCTGGAAGGGGAAGGAGGTTCTCAGTCATTATTTCCATCACCATTATGTCGCAGAGATTCTGAAGATCAAAATCCCACGTGAGGGGGAGGACATTGTTGCATGGCACCCAGAACGTTTAGGCAACTTCACTGTCCGGAGTGCTTACAGGCTGGGAGTCACGTTATAGGACCTCGGGCAGGTTGCTAGCACGAGTTCAAGGCCTGATGGCAACAGTCAAGGTTGGAGACATTTATGGAAATTGAATATTCCCCACAAGGTGAAGGTTTTTGCCTGAAAGCTTGGGAACAATGGCCTGGCGGTGAAGAACAAGAAGAGCAGAAACATCGTCGCAGATGACATTTGTGATGTATGCGGACAAGTACCGGAGGACTGCCATCATGCGGTTATAATGGCTGTGGACATGCTGGCACACTCGGAATGCGATGAGGGAGCACCGGAGCCTTTCCCCTGAAGCGGACCTCCACTACTCGGGCCCTGAATGGCTGTTGACATTGTTGGGTCGACTGGATGAGGCTACAGCGGCATCCCTGCCGCTGATATTATGGCAGGCATGGGCAGCAAGAAATGACATCACTCACTCAACGAGAGGACTAGGTATTGGCAAGTCAGTCGGTTTCCTGCTGCGCTTAGGAGATCACTGCTCACTGTCCGACAAGACCGGGTGACGGGCAAGAAGGGCAAGGGGGCACTCGTCCCTGAGCTGTGGAAGCCAGCGGCGCAGCCGAGCAGGGCCATGGCTTGCTGGCCTCCACCCGAGCCGGGATGGTGCAAAATCAATGTGGAAGGCGCCTGTTCGACAAGCGGTGGTGAGGCGGGCTGGGGTGTTATCATCAGAGATCATACCGGAAAGGTTTTTCTCTCAGCTTTGGAGGTGGATCCCTGGAGTGGTGGATGCGGAGGAGATTGAGACATTAGCATTCAAAGAAGGGCTCTGTCTAGCTCCAGAATGGATCCGAGGTCCGACTGTCCTTGAGTCAGACTGTAGTACGGTGATTAAGTATCTGACCAATCCAAGGCTGCAGGACTTTTCACAATCCAGGAGGCGATAAAGGAGGCCGCCAGGCCAGATTACCAAGGGTGACCTTCAAGCATATTAGGAGAGAGCAAAACCAGGTAGCGCACGCATTGGCGCAACTGGGTAGGAGACTACGGGATAGTGCTATTTGGCATTCTCGTTTTCCCTTTTGTATTGAGCAGCTTGTAGCTCAGGAATGTAACTCGGTTCATCCTTGAAAGCTCTCTCCTTTTCGAAAAAAATAAAATGTCTTGTTTTAGAGTTCGACAAAGAAAATTAGACTACGACAGTAGTTCATCGAGGTAGAATGGTTAAATACACGGGTGGCCCTTAAACTTGTAGCTCTGTGCCATTTAGATCCACGACCTCTCAAAATCAAAATTTGCCTCCCTGAACTTGTTAAGTCGTTCACCGGAGGTCCATGCCCCTTCGGAGGACGCTGATTAATAAAATTTTATAAAAACCGCCCTGTAGTCATCTACAACTTCCCTCCCGTGCCCAACAAGCTCCGGCCGTGCTGCTGCTGCAATTGCTCCAGGGCTGGCACCGTGTCGGCCATCGACGGCCGGTGGCTCGGGTTGTCCCCGACGCACGTGAACACCACGGCCGCCACCTCGCGGGCGTCGTATCGGCATCCCAGCCTCCGGTCCACGAGCTCACCGACCACGTCGCGCGGCGACGACGGTGTACCATCCACGGTGGTCAGGGCGCAGTCCCTGCATCACCACCAGCAACTTCCCCACCGCCTCCGGGCGCGGAAGCCACGGCCTCCCTCATCCTCCGATCCCGCCACCCGCGCAACAGGACAGCCACAGCGCCACCACGGTAGTCTCCCGCCTCGCCGACCCCATCCGCGTCATCCGCCCCATCACGGCGGCTGCCACCTCGGCGGCGGCGGCCACGATGGCCGCCTTGCCGTCGCCAGTCACCACAGCCTGTGGCCATTGCCAGCAGCCGCAGCGCGGGCTTCGCGACAACCACGGCGACGTCAGGATCGCCTCAAGGATGTACCGCGTCGCCGTTCGCGCCCACGCCGAGTAGCGTCGTCACGACGCGGCCAAGATCCTCGGCGACAAGGGCAAGGATAAGGGCCTCCTGGCCTCTTCTGCGATCCCTTTCGGGGACCAAGCACGGCGCGCGCGGAGGCCGGCTCACGTCCAGCAACACGTTGGATGCCTTCACGTCACCGTGCAGCCTCTTGTGTAGCCGTGTAGGTTCCCGTTCGGGCGCGAACTCTAGCACCGCCTTCATCGCGAACGCGAGGAGGCGGACGATGTGGGGTGGCGCCTTGGCGGACGCGGAGGAGCGCGTTGAGCTCTGGCGGAGAACGCGTGGTAGAGGCGCTTCGGCGCCGCGGTGAACCTTGACGAAGCGAGGCGCCGGCGAGGCGGGCGAGGTAGAAGGTCTTTGGCGCCCTCGTCGACGGCCGGCCGGCGTAAAGCCTCCCGTCATGGCCTCCACTGCGCCCATGATAGCGCCGCGCGCTTCATTGCAGATCGTCGTCGTGGCGGCAGCGACACCGGTGCCGGCCGCGCTCTTGGTGTCGAGTGGCTGACCTATCTCCCGAAAAGGCCGGCTCGGGCAATGCATCAGACGGCGATGGGGTACGGATCTCCTCCTTAGGAAGGACTGCTATAGGTAGAAAATGATTACAGAGGATGTTTTTTGTAAAATTTTATCCTAGTCAGCGTTTTTTCCGAAGGGGCATGTATCTCTGGTGAACGACTTAACAAGTTCAGCATGGGCAAATTTCGATTTTGAGGGTTTGTAGATCTAAGTGGCACAGAGCTATAAATTTAAGAGCCGTCAATATATTTAGCTCTGGATTCTTTTATTAAGTTTGAGGCCTTAAGCCCGGTTTAGCCTGGCCCATTTTTAGGTATAGTTCGCCAGTTGCCACCAGCGGCGGTTGAGCGGGCCCATCACGTCAGTCATCGACCAACCAGCCGCGCGGCGTCACTCCAATCCCCACGCCCCGCGGTGCCTCCATTCGCCGCGCCATGGCGGGGTGGATCTCCTCCAAGCTCAAAGCAGCCGAGACCCTGCTCCACCAGGCAAGCCAGCGCTCTCTTCGTCCCTCGCCGCGACGCCGCCCCATCCCCTCCTGAGTCCTCTCCTCACTCCAGCTCTTCTGACTCTTCACTTCTCTTGCGTTTCAGATCGATCAGCAGGCGGCGGAATCCCTCGGCAAGTCCCCCTCCGCCTCCGACCTCGCCGCGCTGCAAGCCACAGCATCTCGCTCTGCCGATGACCTCCTCGACGTGCCGCCCCCGCGCAGGCCGCCGCCGTCCGGCCGGCCGCCCTCCCTCGGCCTCCGTCTCGCAGCGAAGCGCTCCTCCCTGCCTTCATCAGGGCCCCGCCGCTCCGCGTCCGCGGCTGCGGTGCTCGCGGTGCAGGATCAGGCCGGTGGTGAGCCAACGGTGGAGGTGGTGTCCGAGGTGAAGCCAGAAGCAGATCGTGGGGATCGCGAGGACGGTAAGGGTGTCGCTTCCGGGAGCGGGAGCGATGAGGACTCAGATGGATCAGGGAGCGACGACTCGGAGGATTCCGAGGAGGAGAGGCGGAGGGAGGAGGAGAGGAGACGGCGGCGGGCTGAGCGGCTTGCGGCCATGGCTGCACGCGCTATTGCTGAGCGCGAAGAGGCTGTTGCGAGGCTCGAGGGGGAGAAGGCCGGGCTTGAGAAGCTGCTCGCCGAGCGTGAGAAGGAGCAGGCGCAGGAGGTGAGGCTGCTTCATGGCTATTTTGTGTTGCTTGAGACTTGAGAGGTTGCTTAATGTGATGACATTAATATATACCGCTCTGAACAGAGCAAGAAAAACTGCTCTTATAGCATGCATGATGTTAGCTATTTTTTGTGATTTGCATCACCATTCCGTTAGTACCACATTGTACTCCCTCCATTCCAAATTATAGGTCTACAAAGTTTTTAGCTTATATGTCCATCTAGGTGCATAGGTACCTATAAAAGCCAAAACGGCCAATAATTTGTGATGGAGGGAGTATGTTTTTTGTTTGTTAATCTGCAAAATATATTCTGTTTAGATTGGATTTTTTTTCTTTTTTTTTGGTGCAATACTGCATTTGAGCACAAAATCTTGCACATATTTCACTGGTTATGGAACTGTAAGTTGATCCCAAGTACCTATAAGGCAGAGTCAAGTATTCATATGCAAAAACATTTCTATACATAAGTTATCCTGTTGAGATGGTTTCTAGAAAGTGGTGGTTCCTTATTAGCTTTTTGTTCAACATGTTTCAGGCTTCAGAGTTGCAGACTAGTATGATCGAAACAATGGAAGCAGTGGAGATAGAGAAACAGAGACATCATAGCACTAGAATGGAAGCCCTTGCACGATTGGCTAGACTTGAGGTATATCCCTGTCTACAAATGAGCCCCACCCAACCTTCACAAGTCTTAGCAATGCTCTTAAAGAAGATTTTCGCAGGTTACAAACGGTGAGCTTGCAAAGTCACTTGCCAGGGAACAATGGAATCTGGAAGTTCAAGTATGTTTTCTTTTTCCTCCCTCTTCGTGTGTTGTGTTTTTAGGCTTAAGGTAAGAAACAATGGAGAATCTACAGACTGCCCTGCTCTGAGTCAACAGCAGATGTAGAGGCAAACTATAGATGTGACTATGCATAGATCGTTGAACATAGGAATTTTATTCTTCCCTTCAAGTTTGGAGAACTCTGGCATTTTCGAGAGCCTGCACCTTAACATGTGGTCCAAAATGTTATGACTAGACAAAGTTGATACATTCTGGCATTGAAATAATGGGTTAGTCTAGAGTGATCATGCCCTGGAGTTTCGTACACAAATGTAATTAACTATATTTTGTTGCCTTCCTATTGCTGGAGTCCGATATTTTAACATAACAACTGCTAGCGATGAGTTGAATGCGATTCATACTTCATAGGTGTTTCACAAATTATACAATGCTCTATCATTAAACTGAAAGCTTGTTATTCTTTATACTTGAATAGGTTGATCAAGTGGCGCAGCTTCGAGAGGAAGTTGAATTGAAGAAACTTGCTCAAGATAGTAAGTTGATCATGGCCTTCTTTTTGGGGCTCTCTGGCTTTAGAGTTTACTGTGTTTTTTAAGCAATCTTATTTCATTCTTAGGCCAATGGTATATTAATGACTTATTTTGTTTCCTTCTTGAACTGATTTAAGTATGACATGCCATTCTTTTTTATCTCGACTAATAGCACTGTTTTTTGGTATGTGACCTTTGCTATCATTCATTGAACAAGAATACAGAAGAAAGCTAGCAAAGATACAAAAGACAAGTGCCCCTCTGGTTGATGAAGTAAGCAATCAACTTACATTTGCCAGTTGCTTTTCATTCCACACAACTGATATAATATTTCATTGAGCCTTTTTGAGTAGAACTATTGACTCCTAGAAAATATGTCTTTACCTTATCTAATTGTAATATGAGTTAACTTTTGTCTAGATAGAATCTTTGAGAAGGTTCAAGCTCCAGGAAGAAATTATTGATGCAGAATACGCTCTGATATGTGACAGAATTGTGAGCTTGAAGGACAAGGTAGGTTCTCCTGTGTATGACTGACCGCCTGTAGTAATTAATTCTTAATTACAAATTATAGTCTTGATTCAGGAATTCCTTTAATAACTATAAGCTCAATTGGATCTTATTAGTATTACTCTGGATTATTGACTCCCATATATCGTAGTGTTTTGGTCATTGTACTGTGGTATAACATTAAAGTGAGGCTCAGTTGTCTCACTGTTTTAAACTTTTTGTCCCATTTGACTTGGTTTGGAATACCCTTGTGCCCTTGTTTTATTGTCGCCTAATACAGTACAACCTGAAAGCAAGGAACTAAAGGCATCCAACTAAAGTCATACTCTAAAGAAAACTAATTCTGCATGTGTTGTAATTTCTTGAATATTTTATACTTAGGTTCTGGTGCTGTTAGGCTGAGTGTCATTTGTGCTAGTGATTTGAGTATTTTACATTCTGTGTGCAGCTAATAGTTATGTTAACCAATTATCTCAATTTGGTCCATGTTCTTTTCTCAAATATAGGCAAGGAAGATTGTTAAAGGCTTTGTTATTGTTGTTGTTGTAGGCAAGGAAGATTGAAGAAAGCATTGAGCTGACTAGAAGAGACATGGTTCATCCTACAGAGGTGGAAACTGAGCTCAAGAAGAGGCTTGATCAACTTACTGATCGGTTGATTCAGAAACAAATGCAGGTTCATTCCTTATGTGGGCTCTTTCATCATACCACATCCTGTTTGTTTTCTGTTTTACAGCATATCTTGCGATTTTGTTACCTGTTTTTTTGGATCAGCATGGGTTTTACAGTAGAAAAAACATGATTAGGTCATTGTATTGAGAACCCTTCCCTATTTTCATTGGTACTATAAATGGAGTTAGGGAACTTAGAAAATCATCAAGATTTGGAAAGAAAACACCTCGACATGAATAATAAATAATGACCTAACACAAAAAAGATGGTTACCCGTCTGAGGATAAATGCTATTATTCGCATAGTGATACTAGCTCTTGGTATCTATTGGCTACACCGGTACAGGGCTATCATTCAAAGGCTCAAAATCAAATGTTTCTCTTTTTAGGTTGAGTCCCTATCTTCAGAGAAGGCAGCTCTGTTAATGAGAATCGAGGTATGTATATGTAGACCCACTGTATTTTAGTCATTTTTATAAAATATTCTGACCGGACCTAGTAAAATACCCAAGTAAATGTGCATGCGACGAGAATAACATTGTCCATCATCTACAGGCAGTCACAAGGTTGCTTGACAATAGCGCCTCATCATTAGCTTCTTCAAGCTCATCAAGATTGGACATTGAAGCTGGTGCATGGCAACAATCACATTCACCAAAGCTTGGTGACAGGATAAGGGCTGGACAACAGCAACTGGGATCTGCAATCCGACAGCTTGATTCGATCTTCTCAGCCGGGCATATCTTTTTGAGGCGGAATCCAAAGGCCCAGGTTGGGGCCTTGGTGTATCTAGTATGCCTTCACTTATGGGTACTGTACATACTAACATCACACCCAACGGTGTCGGAAACTCGCCCTGGGGCAACCTTTTCTTTGGAGACATTAAACAAGACTAGCAATTGATGGTTTTTTCGGGGCATGTTCTGGTGCTATACAGAGTCTATTCTAGCTGTGTACTTGAGGCATCCTACCTTTTTTTTTCTGGTTGAGAAATATCATAACATAGAATGCCTTGTGCATTTTGTTTTAATTGACACTTGTCTCTATCCCCAATCAAAGTATAACAGTGGCTGGTTGCATACATGAAGTTGGAATTACTTTTGGATAAGTGAAGTTCTATGTAGTCAATTACTCAAATGTTTGCATGTGCATATAGGTGTTGTTCTGATATACAGGAACTTGTCCTTCCAACTAGGCGTTTTGCCAAAAAGAGAAGACTCTTGTCCTTCCAACTAGGCGTTATGCCAAAAAGAGAGGAGCCTATAATAACGATTTCAAACATGAAGCTCGAATTGCTTCTGAATGTTTACTTTACACACATTTGTTCCAATCGCGAAAAAGATTAAATAATATAAAGGTTATTTGGAGACAAATTTACTACTTATACATATCAATCCATTAGCAAAAGATCAATATTGTTATTGTTACATAACTAAAGATTCAAAGTTTCTTGCATTGCGAATGCCATTTATTTCAACTACAATAATAATGTTTGCTGCTCTTCTATACTACGGGCACTTGTGCTCTTGGGTAACGCCGCAGTTGGCCGAAACCATATCGGCATCTGCAATGGATCACTCAGTGCCGGATAACAGAGGCGAGCATCCAAGTTGAATTTGAAGTCATCTCCTAGCTTCAGATAAAAGATGCCAGCGTTACAGTTGATCAAGTCCGTGACATAGACACAATCTGCCTGGAGAAGAGGATCTCTGGAGCCATCGCGAGGCACGTCGACGTAGAAAGGGTGGTTGGCCCCCACGAAGAGGGCGCGACCACCGCCGAGGTCCCCAACGCGTCGCCACGTGTCGTGACGGCGTCGAGCTCGTGGAGCAAAACGCGGCGTGGCCAGAAGCTCCACTGGAAATCAAACACTATCCTCCACCAGCGCGTGTCTTTGATGTCCTCGTTGTCGCCGAACGATTGAATACGCGCGACACAGTAGTCAAGTCTCGATGTCCAGTTGCAAAATTGCGCTGCCAACGGAACAGATATGCCACGGCAACAAACTATAAGTGATCCCTCGGGGTTCTTCAACAGCGTCCACCGCTTATCGTCGTCTGCGGTGAAAGCAACCAAACCCGTGCTGTCACCAGAGGAGAAGAGAGCGACGGACAGGTAGCCGCTCGGGTGCGCCGGCGTCCGACACAGCATGACCTTCTGGAGACGCCGGCATCCGAAACCAGATGGAAATGGTGCATTTTTTCGCGGAATGGCTGCGAAGGACGGCAACGGGACGCGGAATTTCGACTGATAGTTCAGTCGTCCTTGCCGCCGATCCAAAAAAAGGCGAATTTCACTGATAGCAGACAGAGTGTTGAGAAAAAAAACAGCAAACGGATGATGCCGATAACGTCTAGGTGGTCCAAGACGAGATTGCATAGCTCCGGCAGGAAGTCGGCCCATGGAGCAGTTATGCCCCTTGGAACCTGATGATCTGCGACAACAGTACAGTTGGAGATCACCTGCGAGTCTGGGATTGTTGCGGTTATATAATCGAACGGTCACAAGCCATACAATGGTGCTCAAGTCTGCGATTGTTGCGCTGGAACAGTATGCCTCAACAAACTATTGTGACATGTTACCTGTCAGATTGGCAGGCCACTGATAGTTCATTCAAAAAAAAAAAAAAGAATTTCACTGATAGCATTAATGGAACACACACAAATCAACAGTTGCAGAAAACAAGTCACAAGCTCAGGCAGGCCATTGGGATTAATGGCGCGTACAAATTACAGTTGAGAAATGAAGACAAGCGGAGAAGCGCGGATGTGAGATGAAGACGCAGGCAATAAGGTGGACACCGCAGGGCCGTCGTCGTTGGAGGGGAGGGGATCCGTGTGCTGCTGTTCACACGGACTCGATCAGGGCGTTGGTGTCGCAGAGGCGACCAGGGCCTCTAGAGCATCAGGAAATAGGCACCGGAAGGGAAGCGTGCCTGCGTCGTCGTCGTGGTCGACGGCTTCGATTCGTGTCGTCTACGGCGAGGAGCGTCCCAGCGGGACGGACGGGCGGTCCTGCTATTTTTATACAGTGAGTCAGGGAGGGAAAAATCAAACGGGTCCGTCGTCGATTCCAAGCTAGTGAGGAATTCGATCCCGACTCGCTTCGCGTTGGACAAGCCTGCGCCGCCAGCCCGTGTAAATCTCGTTGGCCAGCCCACATTCCCACAACGGGTCTATGCGGCTGCATGATCCGCGTAAGCCGGCGGCGCCGCTTCAACCCGCACCACCGCGAATGCCGCGTTGCCTGCCATGCGGTCGCACCAAACACCACCGCAGTGTGAGACCACTCCGTCGCCAACGCGTACAGGGTGAGCGAGACCTGAACCTGCCCGACGAACGGCTGCAGCGCAGCACTAGTGCCGGATCAGCGAGGAAGAGGCAAATGGCCGCGAGCACGGCGACTGTCTGCGCCAGGCATCTGATCAGACTATCAGAGGGAGTACCGCCACTGTGCCCATCGGCGGCTCGGCCGCTCCTCCATTGCCACCGCTGCTGTTTTTCACGTCTAATGGGCAATTGAGCATGCCGCATGCTGCCGCGAATCAGGCCGCTGCCCTGTCATGCTGTGCAAACCAGACCGCCACGTTCCCTTCTGATCCGCCATTACGTGGCGGCGCCGGACAGCGAGACGTACGCCACGCTGGACATGCAGACTGTCACTCAGGAACACAACAGCCAAGCCAGTAGATCTTGAGTTACCGTTTTGAACAAACCGTTTTTCACCTCGTTCGTTTAAACTTATATCAGTTAGGGTACAATGTTTTCTTCACACAAATTAGCTTTGACCGGCTTATCAGCGCACAAAATCATCAGCCGAACATCTATTTTCTGAACGAACCGAGAAAGTCTGAAACATGTTTGATTGAGCTCTATTTTCCTAATCCTGACGCCTGACCCGCATGCCTTATTGACCAAAGTCAGGCAAATCGATGGATCTGTTTCTCCGATATCTCCTTCCGGCTCTCCTACCGTCCTACCTACGAGCTAGCTAGCTAGCTGCACCTCACGAGCTTCTCCAAGACTTTGCCCTCTGCACCAGGCTCAACAGTCAACAAGACTGCGTGCAACTCACTGCCGCTCTTGCTTGACACTGCCTGCTGCCCTGCTCTGCCGTTGACAAGCTCTCCTCGTGTGAACGTATGATCATGGAAATAAGCAGAGCAGTAGGATTCCTTGGGAGGTGTGCAGCGTCGTCAAAGCCGTCAAGGCGTGTGTGAAATGAGGAGACTGGAGCATGTGTTTTTCTTCTTTTTTGATAAATTGCGTCGTTGCGTGTGTGCAAGTGTTGTCTCAACAGTGGACAACACCAGCCCTCCTGAGTGGATATGTGTATTAAGCCCTTGTTTAGTTTCCACACTAAAACTTTACACCATGTTACATCGAATATTTGACACATGCATAGAGTATTAAATATAGACTAAAAAATAACTAATTGTAAAGATTGCGACTAATTTACGAGACGAATTTTTTAAGCATTAATTAGTCCATGATTTGATAATAAAGTGCTACAGTACCACATGTGCTAATGACAGATTAATTAGACTTAATAAATTCGTCTCGCGATTTACTGACAGATTCTATAATTTATTTTTTTATTAGTATCCGAATACCCCATACGATATCCACATGTAACACCTGATATGACACCCCAAAATTTTACATCCCGAAACTAAACAAGGCCTAAGGGCACGTTTAGTTCTTCGGCCAGACATCAAATCGGTCTTGCTGACTTGCTCTGGCATAGATCACGATAGAACCGACGTTTGGTTTTCTGGTGAGTTTGCCTTAGAGCATCTCCGGTGTTGGCCAAACAAAACGAACCATTCAACACTGCAGCCGGCGAACCATGGGTGTCACAAGCAAAATCGCATCTTGTAGACACGCAAAACCCATTCAAATAAAATAATATATGTGGCACATGGCCGTTATCTCTATTCCTTTTGTTTAATAAAATATAACTATGCTGTTCGCATGATAGTTTTAGCCGATAAATTGACTAAAACTAATTTGTCGTGAGAGAAAAACACTATACCATGACTTACTGATAAGTTTTTTTTGATAAGTTCAAGTAAACATGGTGAACATGTAAGGGCACATGACCGTTGGCATGAAGTCATTGGCTAGGCATTGTTACACTACACTACGCTAGCCTAAAATATGGAGAACTCATTTTGATATAGTTTCACAAGTATGATAAACTCTGCACTGGTAAGTTCGGATCAACAGTCAACACTGCCTGCTCACTGTCGGGCCATCAGAACCAGACTCAACACAGTCAACAAGAATGCATGCAATGCAACTCACTGCTGCTCTTGCTTGACACTGCCTGCTCTGCCATTGACAAGCTCATCTTGTGTTAACGCGTGACCGTGGAAATAGACTTGAGGTGCAAGTAGGGGGTTTGGATATGTTCTCTTAAACTTTAGTTCGTGTTATATCAGATGTCTGACACTAATTAGGAGTATTAGGCATAGACTAATTAAAAAACTAATTACACAGATGGATGCTAATTTTTTAGATGAATCTATTAAGCATAACTAGTCTATGATTTAATAATGCGGTGCTACAGTAAACATGTGCTAATCATAAATTAATTAGATTTAATAGATTTATCTCACTAATTAGTCTATTTCTCTTAGTAGCCCATGTTTAGTTTTCGTAGTTGTTGGTCCGAACGTCCCATTAATAGGGAGGTTGTACTTTTTGCAGAGTGCACGCGTTTTGACTGTGTTAGTCAACGATCGGACAATTATTACCAAATAAAAACAAAGAGCTACAGAGCTACAGTGTATGCGAATTAAAGGGCGGCGATTAGATCCAAAACTTTTTTGGTTTTTGGGCTTAATAGATTTTCGTTTGTATTTGGTATATTTTAGTGTTAATTATGAATTAATTAGCTTCGAAAGTTTAGTTCTCGCGATTTCTCGGTCCCAACGTGTAATTAATTTTTTTTTCGCTCTACATTTAGTGCACTCATGCATGCACGCAAGTTAGTATGATGTGACACTTATTATTAAAATTTTTTGGCTTTTGGAGGGAACTAGGCTAAAGGCTTAGCATGTGTCAACGGGAGATGGCCTAGTTCAGGAGGTGTGCAGCGTCGTCAAAGCCGTCAAGGCGTGCGTGAAATGAAGGAAATTGGATCATGTGCTCGTGTGTGTGTTTTTCTTCTCACGATAGATTGCGTGCTGGATGTTACCGGGACCCGGGTGAGTCACAAATCCCCTCCTAAAGTCAGTAAAGTGTTTGGTGACTTGCAATATTGTTGAGTCTCTGGTTTCAATAACAAGGCCATAGAGCCAGTCACGAGTTGAAAAAAAAATAGTAGGATGTCCTCGAAACAATGTAATTCTTGCTTTCAAAAAGTCAAGGAATCTAAACTTTGACTAAAATATATATTAGAAAGTATTAGATTTATAATATAGAATGTGTATCATTAGATTTATTATGAAATATATTTTATAGTAAATTAGAGACATAAATATTAATACCATTTCATATCAAATCTGGTTAAACTTCAACTAATTTGACTTGCACAAGTACAATGGTTACATTCTTTTGTGAACGAAGCACCATTCTTTTGTGAACGAAGGGAGTAAATGGAATCCACACATATAGGCTTAATTTTACTGGTTGTTCATGGCAACCCTAAAACTAAGGCTAGGGAACTAGTCCACTTGCATCCTACTCAACGGTGAATAATACGAGCCCTACTAATCCAATAGATATATGGATTTTAAAGTGTGATACGAGTATGATACTCAAAAGCGTTTCTTCGGATCTAACTAGTGAATCTTATAGTTATAGCCACACCACTAAGTTGAGACTTGATAATCTTATAGTTATAGCCACACCTTCCGTAGTGCCGGTATCACGAAAGGCATAACACCGAATGGAAATGCTTGACCTCGGGGGTCTTGTTGAACCAACTGGAGATGAGGCTATTAAATTGTACCTAGAGAGGTACAAAGGAACACCTCCTCCACGTGATTGTAGCCCTAGCAGCACTTACTAGCACCATGTTAGATGGAGCTGAAAATGGAGATGAAGAAGAGTAGTAGGGATTATATTTTTTCCTCCTGTTGTCTCTCCAGTTGCGAGTAATCCCTTAGGCTTCACATCTTATCTGGTAATCCTTGCCAAATAAGGTTTTATAGTTGTACTGCGTCTCTGGCGCATAAATCTGCTTCCTTCTTATTAATATAAAAGCTGGCTCAGCTGGATCTTTCAAAAAAGAGACTTGGTAATGTGGTTTAACCAAGCCTAAATCCTCAGGGATGTTTTACGAGTGCTCCTCTTTGAAAACCACGACTCCGGTCACTTGAGACTTCATCGGCGTGAGCCTATCATTGTGGCGATGTTGTTCCTCTCCCTTATGCCTTATGGCTACAACTACAACGACTCCCTAAATTTTGTGAAGCTGATCTGGATTGTTACATGTGTCTAACACGTAGCTCTGTCTAACTCACGCCTGCTTACATAGCACCAACTCTGATGTAACCTCTGATTAGAAACTAAATCTTAGACACAAACATACATGATAATTATTTTTTTTTAGAAAAAAAAAGTATCTTCGTCGGTAATAACCACCTAGTGTGGGTAGTCCGTTGGCAGGAACCACATGGGCATCTGCAATGGGTCAGCCACGAGCGAGTACGCGAGGCGCTGCTTGACGTAACCGTCACCTCCCTCCCCCTTCTTCAGGTCAAAGATGGCCGCGTCGCAGCCGTAGGGCGTGTCCGCGAGGTACACGCAGTCCGCCTCAAGATCGGCCTCATCCTCGGACGCACGCCCACGCCGCACGGTGACGTAGAACGGGTAGTTCGCCCCAGGAAGAGCGCGCGATCTCCCCCGAGGTCCGTGACGCGCCGCCACGTGCCGCTGCCGGCGTCGAGCTCGTGGAGCGACATGCCGAGCTCGAGGAAGCTCCTCCTGTCGTCGAACACCAACCTGCTCCATACGCGACTGTCCCAGCACCTGCCCTGGTATTTGTACATGTCTGCGACGTCGTAGCCATGTATGTAGATCAGCAGAAGCCGCTCTTGGCCGCCGCAGCCGCCGGAAGCGGCCAGGTAGTACCCGCACCGGTCATGGCGGCTGGTCTCATCAATCTCCGGTCCCTGCTCCACCGCGGGCTCCGTCGTGGCTCCGCCGTTCAGGTCCCAGGAGTAGATGCGGCCGAGCTCGTTCACGGCGAACAGCTTCCCATCGAGGACGATGGCGTCCATGTACGAGACATCAGACCGAGAGGCGGCCGCGGGGTTCTTCAACGCCGTCCAGCGGCACTCGCCTGTGCCTCCGCCGCTGGCCGCCGCCGTGAACGCCAGCAGACCTTCGGAGAAGACAGCAACGGCAAGGTGGCCGTCCGGGTGCGCCGGCGTCCGGCATAGCGCGACCTTGAGGATCTTGTGACAGTGACCACCTCTGGTGGTGCGGACGTGGAGGTAGCCTGCACCTCGACTCCCCGGATGGTGTCGAAGGACGGCAGGCTCACCCGCGCGCTGGTGACTGGGTTCAGGAGCTCGACGTCGCAGCCGCAGTCCGTGGTCACCAGCCACCCGTCCTTGCCGCCGACCCAGGTCCGGCCCTTCAGCCCCTCGGCCTCGCCGAGGAAGGACTTGCTGCCGCCGCCGGCAGACACGTCATGGAGGCCGAAGGCGCCCGCGTCGACGTTGGACTCGATCTCGCAGCCGTCGGGGTCCAGTCCGGACGTGAGGAGCGCGGGCGCGCCCGGCCGCAGGCGAGGATTCTCCTCGCAGGGCGCGGACCAGCCCGTGCAGACGGCCGGGAAGCGGAGGATGCTGATGGGGTCGAGACGCTCCGTGACGAGTTCGCACAGCTCCGGCAGGAGGTCGGCCCACGGCGGGGCGGTGGCCGCGCTCGAAGCCGGAGACATTGTCGACGATGAGATGCTGGCCGAGCACCTGCGTGGTCACCGTTGACGACGGTGAAGAATTCTTGGACCTACGCCATTGTTCGTGTGACAGCAGAATACACATGTGTACTACGGAGTAATACGTACCTGGGTCGTCAAATAGACAAACACAGAGCCCGGATCGAAATAGACGACGGCCGGGCACGAGGGAGACGCAGGGATGAAGCCGAGCTCGATGGCATGACGGTCTTGGTTCAGAGTTCAGCCGTGCCCCTGTCAAACTTGGCCCTCACGTCTTTGTAGCATTGGACCTCGGACTCGGAGACGGAGAGTGGCATCAAAGACGCGGTTCTCGTTACAAGTGACAGCCGGCTCTGACATGATCATAATTCATAGGAGATAGCTTTGCCACCAAGGCTTCAAATTAATGGCTCGTTGGAACGAACCAGAGCTGGGCTCGATGATGGACTGGGGTAAAAAATTCCAGATCTGGGCCATCACATTAATGGGCTAAAACTAGGATATTGGCCCATGGGCAGCTGAGTTTATTTTTTCTTCTTATTATTAGGAGGCCTATTTGGTTGCCCAGCTTCGCCCAACCTGCTGCATGAGTGGAGATTTATAAAGTTGTTTAAGGAGTGTTTTTAGTTGGGTACACATGCACCTCGTGCGGACACACTTGCATGGATAGATATAGCATGGCTTGGTGATGCAAAATAGGAAAAAAAAAAAATTATGTGCATACTATATCCACAACTGCGACATGCATACATGGTGTGGATGCCTAGACACGTGTCGGACTTTAACGATCCAACGCCGATCCTCCGCTCGGAACAGACTCCGCTCCAGCCAGCTGCTCCTTCACGCGGCCACACCACCCGCCGCATGCCCGCATGCACCGTAAAGACCAACATGTGTCAGACATCCAGGCATGTATCCATGGCGCAACTTGTGTATACATTTCCATAGAATTTTTTTCCGCAAAATAAGGGTGACAAACCCATATGTCAGCCTCATAGGCTATAGATAGGTTGCATCTGCTCATGCAACCTCACCAAATACTCTTTTCTGAAAACACAGTTATACATATCCTGTATCCCTGGTCCAAATCCCTAATATGAAATCGACAATCACTACCGGTTTTGCCAAACAACAGTAGGTAAGTGGTAGTGACAGTTTCACCTGTCATTGCCGAGTGAGCAACTGACAATGTTAGCCTTTTTGACACAAAAAGGAAAAAAATTCAGCAACACGCTGCTGCCGTAGCTCACGTGCCTCCAGGCTTGTAGTCGCCGCCACGTCACCTTCATGTCCGCAGCTACGCAAGGCTGGATCCAAGAGATAGAGGATGAGAGAGAGGAGGAAGGAGAGGAGAGAAGGGGGTATGCAAAAGTGCCACAATGGAGATCGAGAGAGGATGTACAAATATGAGGGAGGAGAGAGAGAGAGAGAGAGAGAGAGAGAGAGAGGGTGAGGATTGACTAAGAAAGAGGATGCGAGAGGAGAATGAAGAGAGAACGAGAGGATATGTTTAGAGTCCAAGAGAGAAGGAAAAGGGGTGTGGCGGACTCTAACTCGAGTCAAAAATTGATTGCACTGTCAATCGATGTGGTTAGTGCCTATTATTGGTTTTATTAGAATTCGACAATGATATTTAGCCTCTATTTGGTAGGGCTCATCTTCAGCTCCGGCGGAGGAGCTCTACCAAACCATTTAGCATGAGGGAGTCGATTGGAGCTGTTTGAGGAGAGGAGCCACAATTGTAACATCTCCAAAACAGCTCCGAAGAAAAGCTCTACCAAAAAGTCCTTATTTATCATCACCGGTGCATAGTTTAAACTGATCGGTGATAACTATTTTCCTTATGAACCAACACTATTATCCTATCAAATAAGCACACCTTAAGCATTCGGCCATTCGATCTCAGTAGCAGTAGACAAGTGCATGTACCGAAGGAGGAAAATGGTCCAAAGTTTTGTCGGAAAACGGCAGCCTAGCCGCAAGTGGCACACCTGGTGCTGGTGATTAAAAAGCCAAGACCAGGACGTGAACCAAAATGGTCGCAAAGCAAGAAGGAGAAGGAATAAAGCCTAAAGGCGTTGATAGGCGGCGACTCGGGGGAAATCTGCCGCCCTATCTTCTACCTTTTGCGTCTGTCCCATGACTCTGCTCCCAAAGGCGACGACGAAGTCGACCCGGCGGCAAATGGCAGCGGCATCTATATTCTATGGCGCCCCCCGATCCGGCCGTCATCGCCGGCCTTTCACATCTCTGCGGGGATCGGAGAGGATCGAGGCAAGAGGCCAATTCGCGCTGCTGTACCCCGCGCACTCAGCACAGTCGCCGCACCCTCGTGTGCCGTGTGCGTGCGTGGCGCTGCTGTGTATGCTCCTCTCGCCTCCGACTCCGATCCATTCCCGGCCGTGGACTTGGCTGGACTGGACCACTGAGCGAGTGAGCCTGCCACTTAGCTTGAGGCCTTGAGTTTCGGGGCGGTGGTGGTGGTACCACCACCACCTCCACCTGTAGCCCAGTCATTGCAGGCTAGATAGCTCCATGGCCCTGGCCCATGCATGCTTGCTTGCAACAGTGACGCGCAGATTCACACTGCCCCAACACGTTTCTTCCTGCAGGTACTACCATACCGCACGATCGAGAAAGACACATACCACTATTTCTTTTTTCTCTATTTTATTAAAAAGAAAGAAAGAAAGACACGTCACCCTCACAGCCACGCAAAAGGCAGCTCTGATCCTGATCGGCGTCTGTTTCCGTCTCTCTCGTCCTCTCGCTCGGTTTCCATGGATCGAGTACTCCAAATATTCCTATCCATTCGCTGCCCTCATGCATGCCACTCAGTGTTATCTTCCTCTTCCTGTGCGTTTATCAGTTTATTATCTCATATCATTGACAGATGACATCTTCAGATCCAAGATGCGATGGAATGGAAAACACTGGCCGCCCCACTACCCACGGACACACGCGCAAACACACACAGTGCCCTCGCTCCGCATGAAGCTTTGCGCATGCATAAACGTCGCTCTCCATGTATATCCGAATCCTCTCCGCCTGCAGCTTTTTCCTTAAGCTCGAATCTTGCCACGAATGACAACTCAGTGTCTCCACCAATGGCATACGATTACGATCACACATGAGCGTATGATCAAGGCTTGCATGTTCTGCAGGTAGCGCTGCTGCGCTGGTAGCTCTCGACAAGATTCTGCACACAACCTGGGCGTGTTTGTTTCCGCTTAAAATCAGAATCGAGGCGAAAAATAAGCGATAATCCCACCCAATCACCTTCAATTATTTTAGATTCTCAGATAAGCGGGAGGTAGAAATAATCTCAAATGCACTGGGCCGTGTGTTTCTCGCACCACGAGCGAAGGGGTGCGTTTTCCCCACCGCGGACTTGTTTCCACCCGCTGCCCCTCCGCTCCCCAGTCCGCGCTCGCGTCCGCTCTCTCCGCTCGCGACTCCAGCGCTAGGGTTTGCGCCGCCGCCGCCTTGGGTCACGCCGCCCCTCCCTGTCCGCTAGTCAGCGACGTTCGTGGCGCCCCTCCCGCTGCTCGGTTGGTAGCTAGTCCTCTCCCCGTCATCTTCCTCGGAGGCGACCGCATCTCTCCGTTCGGTGGAGGCCGGCTCTATTCGTGCTCCCTGTCGCCCTTTCCTCTGCTCCGACCTTTCTTCTGCTCCGATTGAAGGTCTCAAGCTGGTGCTGGTTCAACCATCCCTTGTCCAAGATCTATTCAGGTACTTATCTTTACAGATGTATGGATTGTAGGTTTGATTTGTATTGCAAATGGACGAATTATATATGCATAGCATGGTTAGGGACATAGTCTGTGCAGATGCTGAATGCTTGTGTTTTAGGAACTGATTAGGATTTTTTCTTCAAATGTAATGCTGAATGCTTGTGTTTTACATATTTATTAGTTCGTGGAGATTTTAAATGGACAAGTCAGTAAACGTTCTGGCAAAATGGGATGCTTTTGCTGCCAAGGCCTTTAACGATATTTGTGTGGAAGAAGTTCTTGCCCACAATAGGCTTGGACATTGCTTGAATAGTTTGGGCTATGTAAATCTTGTCAGAAAGTTCTTCGAACATATCAAGAGGCCTTATAATGAGTCACATATGAAGAATAGATGGTATACAATGAAAAAGAAATATAACTAGTGGAAAACTCTGAACATGAGAGCTACTGGATTAGGGAGGAATCCTACCACTGGTTGTATTGTGGCTTCCGATGAATGATGGGCAGAACAAAATGTGGTGAGCATACAAATCACTAGTATTTTTAACTTATATTCAAGTTGTTATGTTTTTTTTTATAAATATCTAATTATTTTTTATTTATTTTTCAGGCTATGTCAAGTTGTATAACATTCAGAGATAATCCACTTGAGCATGAGGACCAGCAGTGGATCATGTTTGATGCAATTAGTGTTACAAATGAGACTTCATATCATTCGCATTCAAGTCTGAGAAACATGATTGAAAGGTCATTTGGAGTCCTGAAGATGAAATGACGCATTCTCTTGAAGCTGCCCAAATATTCGGTGAACAAGCAATAAAAAATTATAGTTGCTTGTATGACCCTCCACAATTTTATTAGAGACAATAACATAAATGATGCTGACTTTCAATCGCATATCAAGAAGATGGTACAAATGGACCTGAATCCAGCTCAGGTGAAGGAAGTGCTTCTGGTCACATGGATATAAGTGCTTTGCGTGATGCTATAGCCACAGCTATGGTTGGTTGATTAACTGTTGTATCCATCACAATTTGTCCAGACTTATGTTAATTTTATGTTGTGTAACATTAGTTATTGGAACAAACTTTTAATTATGCGAACACAAAAAATTAGTACCATAACTGTCTTTAGCTCGTATTCAGTGAATAAATGATGTGTCATCAGCCTCAGGGGCATACAGATCATTTTACACTTAGGACAGACAATCTATGGACAATAATTAAAATTGCTAAATACTCTCAATTGTTTATACAGTAGATTCTT